ACCATTTACTGGGCATTTCTCTCAGGCAAATTTCCTGCCCTTCAACGACTACGTAATAAATCCCTTCCTAGGAGTGTAGGGAATTAAACGACACAAAAATGCAATTAAAACATCGTTATTTCAAGTTCTTGTATGCTTTCACTCCTCGTACTTTACATGTTGAAGTCTTTCGAAATACCGACAGGAGGACAATAGGGGTAGTTACACATATAAACCTACCTCGACTCGTTGCTTTTTTGTGACTTTGCTTTTAATTTTCGTTAAAACACAAACCAAAGTCAAAATAAGTTAAGGCAAAAGAAGTGGAAAGTTCCTATTTTGTCCTTTTGGAAAAATTGTCATGCGAAAAATTATAATGAATTTTCATCATCGCTGGTACAGAAACCGCTATCACCGTCGTCAACCCGTCGGAGTCGCTACCACTTCCACTGTCAGCACACTCCTGAAGCCCAACCACGTCGAAGTTTCTTCGTTATTGGCAAGGCAATGGACACAACTTAACCGTTAAAATTTTTAAAACAGATTTCCTTTTACTTCGTTTATGTCAAGAATATTAAATTAAAATAAATAAAACTCCAATGAAGGCACGAGGCAGGGGTTGTGGCAAAATGTGGAATAAACTTGTATTCAACAAATAACAAATATCAAAAAGCAATAAAAATAAATGAATGCATAAACGGAATAAATTTTGTAAGCACAGAACAATGCTGCCAGTGCATTTCACTAACTAAATTTAGTCATCGTTGTTGCTGTAGTTGCCGGTATATTACCGTCACATCCACTGACGGTTCAGTGCACTCACAGTGCTCTTACACACAAACACAAACACACACGCACACACATATACCACCCACAGGACCAAAATTTGTTACATACGAGTATACACATATTTACTTTAAATACAAAACATATTTAAATTGAATACGAGGAGTTCGGCTATGTAGTATGAAGTATATATAAATAAATATATATATATATACATATACTAACCTGAGAGTATATATATATAAATATATATATATATATATATATATATATATGTGTGCATTTCATATATTTCATATATGTATATATATATATATATATATATATATACTAACCTGAGAGCTGTACAGTATATATGTATATACATATATATATATATATACGAAATAAAGCTCATCGGACAGCAACAAACATATAAAATTAAAATAACAAACTTAATAGTCGATATCTCTAGGGCCTATTATACTCGTGATATGTCCTATTTATAGTCTGAAGAAGTTTTGAATGAAGTTTAATAATAGAGTAAGATAACAAAATTTATTATGTACAAAAATGACTATTAATTAGTTAGATAGAGTGGGCTAAACTAAATAATAGAAAAGAGATTTATAAACAAACTCTGTGATCTATAAAATAAAACAATTAGCCTCTATTTGATCAAATCAGAGATTGGAAAGGTTTGATATACATAATGGACACTAGATTATTAGGAAAAGAGTCCAGGCTAAATACATTATGCGACAAATACTCACAATTCACAGCTAAGAGCCTGGTAAGAGCAAATATGTAATTATAGCATAGGATGTTTGTTGCCAGGCTTACGACCACGGTTGCCAAATGTGGTACTTTAGTACCAAAATGTTACTTTTTTGAAGTGCGAACTTTATTGTACATTATTATTAATTATTATTAAAAGTGTAGGCATGAAAATTGTCCAACAGCCGGTACTACGGCCAGAATAGTTCTATTGTACCAATTTCACTATTGATTACACAAAGCTCTTTAAAGCTTTGTGAACAAAATCTGGAACTGAATCTAGAGAAGAGCTCTTCATCTGCTGTGGTGACAGAAATTCCATATAAAACAGGTTTCTTCTGTGCGTTGTTAAAGCTGGGCAGTCACAAAGAATGTGCATGGTCGTTTCCTCAATTTCGAGGCATACATACTATTATACTATCCAAAAAAATGTATTTATAGATGCAATTGGGCGCTACGAAACTAATATAATTTTGTATATTGATGTAGTAAAAATATTGAGGCTACAAAAGGTAACAGAAAATTGTGATTGGAATGGATTTTAAGACCATAAATAATATTATGTTATTTATGTTATATCTTATTATGATATAGAAATATTTGATAAAATAAATATGCACTATATATGGTCAGCAAAAGGTAGTCCGATTATTTAAACAATAAAATTGCTATGGATAAAAAGATGTTCTATATCTTCTGTACATTATATACATATTGTATTTTCTTGTTAAAAGACAACAGAAAGAAATGATACCTTTTTGATTCAATTTTGGTACAGAAAAAAATTTTCAAGGGGCAACCAACTATAGTTAATATAATCGCAGGATACTTTTTTTTTGAATATAGATAAAAATATAGATAAGGAGGAGTCGAATGATCTTCTAATTACCGATTAAGTTTAATTTTAACGTTGTGTTGTAGTATATACTTCAGTTAAATATATCTAAATCTCCTTTTATCTATCAATTCTCTCTAAATTTATATATATAAAAAATATTTATAATTATAATAAAACTCTATTATAATTAGAAATTTAAAATGCATGTCGATAAAAAATAAATTAGAAATTACACATTTTCATTGTAAAGTTGGAAAATAATGCAGTTTAAGCATTATCTTTTTTACACTATTAATGAACTCTGGGAGAATTATGAAACCCATTAGGGATATCCATGTTACAGCCGAAAACGCAAAAGATTATAGGCTTTTTAGTAAAAGCAATTATATTTCTAATGCAACAAGAATTATGAGACACAACTATATTAAAATAATTAATTGCACCGTAGTGTGAATTACCAGTATTTATATGAAAATGTCATTCAAGTGCTTGAGAATTATAAGATCAAATAAAAAAAATTTCTGTTTGTATTGCACCAGCAAAAAAGAAAAATGAAACCAGAAAATTAATGATTATCTTAAAAGACGAATAATTTACTATTTACACAAAGGACGAATAAGAGAGTCTAAGTCAAATGATTAGGTTTTTTGTACAGAACTCTGAATATAATTACGTTGCTTACTAAGTAAAATTTGTCGAACTGTGGATGACTTTACTATTGCTCTTTATGGTTGTGCAGACGACTGCACTAGTCAAAATATTTTCTCTCTTCCAGAGACTTAAAAATTACTGGAGTTGTTATAAAGAATTGGTTATATGCACTTACGTTTTAAGAATAGTAAATCATTATAATGTGTATTGCTTCTTCCTTCTTTTTCTTTCGTACTTTCGTACTTTTTCGCTCAATAAACCACACATCATATTAGCTTTTCAATTATATACTTGCCATAATGATTGATTATTAACTCTTCTAGAGCACTACATAATTCATCTAAACAAAGAAAAACTACTGCACGGCAAAGAGAGGGAAACAATTCATCAACAAATTCAAGAAAAAGTGGAGTTTTCGTACTGTGTAGAGAGGACATTTAAATTCTGAAAAGATTTCTGATAAGACAATGCAAGTTTTTGAATAAAACCATTTGAGGCACTCGCATTCATTATAACCTTAAACCACGGTGAAATCAATAGCGAAGCTACTTCTTCAGTTGAAAAATCTCCTTATGTAGTGGTTATGTCTATTAACGTTCTAGAAGAAGTAATTATAGATTTTTGCTTGCCAAATGCCGTTTCTCAATCACATAAAATATTTTTGGGTTTTTTCTCCTTCTCTGGTTGTTTCCTCCTATAAATATGCAATACACAATTAATTGATTTTCTAAATATACCTGAAAAAATCTTTTTATTGGACAATAACAGGATAAGTAGGCTATATTAGTACTAGTATTATATAATAATAAAGTTCTATTAAAGCATTATTTTATATATCACAAGTTGTACACTGCACTTGCCACTAGCCACTCGCTGCTGGGTTTTTATTTGTTTTTATTAATATGATATTCTGTGGCCTTACAATATTGTTACTCCATCGTGGCTATAAAATATTAACGGGAAAATAAAATCACACAATAAATTGAAACTGTTATTGGAATTTCATAAATAACTGTCAACGAGCAGACTTCAGCTCTTATGAAATTTACGAGTATGTCTGCACACACTTCCGAGTGGCTTGAACGTGTATTGGAAGCGGAAAATGTTGGTGCAGGTTGTAGTCACTTTGAGGATTTGATTGCATAAAACCGCATGCAGTAATTTGGTTGGTCAGTTTGAAATGTTGCCAACATCACCGCAAAGCCAGACAAATCCAGTGGCTTATATAAAATTCCGACAAGATAACGGAACACTTCATTCTTAAACGAGATTGAGCAATCCAAAATGATTGGCTCAATTGGCAACACTGTTTTACAGTCTTTGAAACAATGCACCAAAAGCTGTATAGTATTATAATTATATTGTATTCAACAGAATCTGATAGTTCAATTTAAAAGTTTTATTTTTCTGTTCTTAAATCCATCTGAATCGAGAGATATGGGAGATAATTGAAGCTTTTTAGTTATACGTTTCCGATTTTTCCAAATATTATTATTTTCACTTCCACATAAAGTTTGATTGGACTTGATTTTAGACATGTGTGAGACTTGAACCCACTAAACTATCTCTTAGGAATAAATGGAGAAGACTTTCACAGCATTGTGAAAACTTCATTCCAGTAATCAGAGGAGAGAGAGGAGAACAAATAGACTTAGCGTACCTAGCGAGCTTGATTTATCTAAGCCACATAAGTTGTAATGATCATTTATCAAAATTTGTCTACTAAAGAACTATTGATACAACAACATTAGCTAGTGATCCCAACTAGATACAACTAGTGATGTTACAAATTGGTAATCGAAGTAACAAATGGGATGATTATGTTTACTAAAAATGATGTATGAGTACGCATAGAATAAAATGAATTTTACTTGGCTTAGTAAATTAAAGTTAAAATAAGAAAATTATTATTTCTTATTTTTTTTAATCATAGTATACAAGATAATTTCAATTAATTTAATATGAAAAAAAATATTGATGTATTAAACATTTTTTTTGTATTCTAAAACAATTGGTTCAGCTGTTAACCTATAGCGCAGTAAATAATATATTATTTATTAGTTAATATAACGTCCAAGTGAGTACCAACAATATACATCAAAAACAATTTTTAATTATTATTAAAATTATATTTTACAAATTAATGTGCTAAAAAATTGGAGTTTCATTCATTAGGATCGTTCTTTAGGATGATGATTGCTTTGCTAATAGCTTTAAGCTTTTACGCTTACGTGTTATCCATTTTATTGCTCAAAGAATGGAAGAGAGGCGCGATCAGTTCTAAGTACCATAGGGCTATTCAGCGAACTACGTGCTTGTGTAAGTACATATGTTTTCATATATATGGAATTTTCACAGACTTTCCCCAAATCCATTTATTCTTAAATCCTTTAAATCCTTAAGTTTGAAAAGGGTTATTATATTTATTATTAAATAACAGGCTATGAATCCGCATAGGTCTAAAAGATCTATTGTACGCCTAAAAGCCCAACTAACAACTAACAATTCTAGAATATTTTGTGGGTTTAATTTTACCCATTTGATTTGGGATTAAGATCCCGCTTTCAAGATAATCAAGTCTACATCTTGCTGCCGCTGGGCAGTGTTGTATAGAATATGTTTTGATGTTTTCTTCGCCTCATGACAGGAATCACTTTCTACCACACATATAATCTTCATGTGGTGATTGACTCTACAGTGTCATGTAAGAAGTTCAGTGTAGATTGTAATTTCGTTTCTGTTAAGGTTAAGGATTGCGTCAACTTTGAAGTGTTTAGGATCAATGAATCTTTTAAAAAGGCTTATAATATATATAAAAAGAAAAAACATTGTTTGTGATGGAGTTGAAACTTGATAGCTTTATATTTGGCTGGAAAAACTTAAGGGGCTATCGATCGAGCCCTTCAACACCTTAATATGAATAAATAATTTGTGTCTTGTACCATAGCTCGATACCGTGATACTGGTACCGTTGCTCGACACCCAGGAAATGGACAAAAAAAATACAGTAACAATACCAAAAATGATTCTTAAAGTGAGGAAGCGAATTGAGCGATACCCACGCCGTAGATGCAAACACATGACAAAGAAGCTGAACGTGTCGCGAGAAAGGATGCAGCAAATTATATAATTTGCTTAAAATTCTCGGTCTCGGTCTGGCGTAATTAAAAAAGTAAGGTTGGCACTAAAAAATACCAAAATGTCGATCGTCTGAAGCTACCGCTAAAAGCGAGAATGGGTCAAAACACCACAAAGCTATTTGTGGACAGCGTGGGATAGCTGTTGAAATTAAATTCAACAAAAATAAACAAAACGGGCTTTTTACTTTTTTCCAATTTTCGTCAACCATCCTGCATATATATATATACAGCACCTATAGCACTTTTTGGATAATTTCTTTTTTAATTTCAAGAATCTAGAACTACAGTCCCGTGACTAAATAATTTTACTGCGATTTAATGAAAATGGCTTTCACTCTTATTACGAGAGTTTAAAGACCAGCTATTGTTTAAATTTTTAGTTATAGAAAAACAATGTCGGAATCTAAATCATTAAAGTAATATCACTGAACTTCAGCACATGCTCCATAAGTTTGATTTTATTTATTTTTTTTATGCTATAACGCTTTTAAAAATACACAAATATATAATGAAATGCTCTAAGGCTGCTAAATGCCTTGTATATGAGATTAGATGTTTATATAAATTACATCTACATATATTTGACATTTATATGTATATACCATATGTTTTTGCCTGAAGAAAAAATGAAATTCCATTAATTGCGGTATTCCAATTATTGGGGAGAATTTGTTTCCATTTCAAAATTTTTTACCCACAAGGTCTTAGTTGGGACAGTGAATGAAATAATTTAGTATATTCACAAATATTTATGAATTTTCCATGGTTGTCGATACTCGCTAAAACTACTAACACTTTCTAAGTGCATGAAAATGCGTTTACACTGGTAAAGTTTTGACAAGATTTCTGTATACACTTTCAAATTTTCACAACTACATCTCTTATACAAAACTCACAAAAACTTTTGACAAAATTTGGACAGTGTAGACGGTAAGTTTCAAACGTGGAATGAAAGAAACATGGTGGTTTGAAGACCAGTTTTTGTTCGAATTCAGTAATGTTTCAATATACACTTGTTTCAAGTGAACGAAAAAAATGTGACGGTATGAAGACCATTCTTTGTTCGAGATCAGTAATGTTTCATAATATACTTCTTTCAAGTGGAACAAAAGAGATATGACGGCGTGAAGACCATTGTTCGTTCAAATTTAATAATGTTTCAATATACACTTGTTTCAATGAAACGAAAGAAATGTGACGGTCTGAAGATCATTCTTCGTTCGAGATCAGTAATGTTTCATTAAACACTTGTTTCAAACGGGGAATGAAAGAAGCTGGTGGTTTGAAGACCATTTTTTGTTCGAATTCAGTAATGTTTCAATATACACTTGTTTCCAGTGGAACGAAAAAAATGTGACGGTGTGAAGACCATTCTTCGTTCGAATTCAGTAATGTTTCATAATATACTTCTTTCAAGTGGAACAAAAGAGATATGACGGCGTGAAGACCATTTTTCGTTCAAATTTAATAATGTTTCAATGTACACTTGTTTCAAGTGAAACGAGAGAAATGTGACGGTCTGAAGATCATTCTTCGTTCGAGATCAGTAATGTTTCATTAAACACTTGTTTCAAACGGGGAATGAAAGAAGCTGGTGGTTTGAAGACCATTTTTTGTTCGAATTCAGTAATGTTTCAATATTTTGAAAAAGCTGAGTTTTGGGAAATGAAAAAGCTGATGAGCTTGCCAGAACTGCATCAAAAACTGCTTTTATAGGCCCTCAACCCTTTTGTGGAATAAACTGGGCTAGTACAAAACAGATTATCAAGGAAATGGAAAATCATATGCGGCTAGAGTACTGGGTAAACTTTCCAGGACTCAGACAAAGCAAAGCACTGATAACACCTTACTCCTACAAAAACATTCTTAAATTCTCAAAATGTAATTTAAGGATGATAACGGGTTTCATTACAGGTCATTATGGTCTGAAATATCACCTTCATAAACTACAATTATCTGCTAACTCTGAATGCAGATTATGCCTCGAAGATGAGGAAACAACCATGCACATTCTTTGTGACTGTCCAGCTTTAATAACGCACAGAAGAAACCTGTTTCATAAGGAATTTCTGTCACCAGAACAGATTAAGAACTCTTCTCTAGATTTAGTTCTAGACTTTATTCACAAAGCTTTAAGGGGCTTTGTTTAATCAATAGTGAAACTGGTACAATAGGTCTCTTCTGGCCGCAGTACCGGCTGTTGGGCAATTTTCACGAATACCTTTTATTATTATTAATGTTTCAATATACACTTGCTTCAAGTGGAACGAAAAAAATGTGACGGTGTGAAGACCATTCTTCGTTCGAATTCAGGAATGTTTCATCTTGCATGCGTCAGTCTGAACAACACTTATCAACAAAGGCATTGCATTATATATTTGAGTACTTTCTTTCGTAGAAACATATTATTCCGTTGAAAACAAAAGTAGTTTTGATTATAACAGAACAATCCTGTTACGGTCTGCTTAATTTAAACATTTAATTAAACTTCGCAATTGAAATGATTATGAATACTTTTTTTCAATATTTATTTTACTTATATTTCTACTTCCTTAGTACATATTCGGTCATACCATACATATTAATACCATTTAATTGCAGATCGTCGTTTACGCAGAGTTCCGTTTAATGACATCGCTACTGTGGAACTGGGCCTTGGACTCGATCCATTCTAGCAGTGTTGTTGGGGAATCAGTTCACGCATACGTTTGCAACTTATACACGGAGAAAGTATGTTCATGATACATACTTTTTTAATAAATTTATTTTTTTGTTCGTAATTCTTGGGCTTATTTCTGTATAAGTATGTACGTGGTAAAAAGTTAAAATTCTCAATAAAGTATTAATAGCAAAATAATTTTTTACCTTTATTGTGGGAAAATTACAAATAAGAGACATTGGCAAAAGACTTACTGTTTTTTGCCGCACATTGCAGCAGCCAAATAGACATAATGACACTTCATTTGTCGCGTAAACTTCTCTCTTCTTATATAAATTGATTAAATCTTGATAAAATAGTTTATTAGTCTTAAACGGTAAAGTCAGTAACATGAATTTGTTATTAGAATCTGTCTAAGTCTTAGAAAAAATACCAAAATATAAAATGAATAAACCAGAGCCCATAATTAAGCATATTTTTGACCGGTACGAAATCATTTTAAAAGTAATTTACTTCATTTTTAAATAGTGAAAAATATCTTTGCTTTGGTATCTTTTTTTATTGGGTAATGGAATTTCAAATGCAACAATTAGTTTGGTTACTCAATCAAACAAACAAATTGTTACTAATTTGTTTTCCTATCACAGTCCGAGTAACTATGAAATCTAGTTTTGAAGTTAAAGTCCCTCAAATCAATTCGTTCAACAAACTTCGTTTACACTTTTTCGTATTGATGCGAATAACAAGGATTTGCCTACTATGAAGGCACAATTCCTGCAAATATTGACAATTCGGTATTGTTACAGCTGGAACCAAAATTTTGAGAATTTCTATTTCTACATCATGGAATCGCTTGAAAGGGATTCTCCATTTAAAACAAACTTTCGAAGCAGACTTTAATTGAAGTTTTGATTTTTTGGTCCTTGATGGAGAAGTGGGAAATAAGAATACTGCGACAGTTACTAACTTAACATGAACGTAAAACCAAAAACTTTAATTATTGGTTAAAATACTATTCAAGGTAAGAATAAAAATATTTAGAGTTAGTTAAATTCAAGAGAAAAGGTCTACTATTCTTATACAGTTATATTTCCTTTAACTCGTAAGCATTAAATCAAAAGAGAAAAGTGATATTTTTTAAGCAATGAGTAAAAAATTTAAATACAAAACAGTAGAAAATAAGATTAATGAATAGGTAATAAAGCTTAATTATTACTCTTTAGAGCTCTTTAGAAAGAGGTCTCGGAAACCCTTAACATAGTTGATTGGTGCCACCTATGCCCTGGGAAGAAAAAAAGCGGATGTGGAAAATTTCAGCAAACGTCAGAAAACCTACCTACATACTATAACGAATCTTTTTCGCCGAGGTTCAATTCACCGGATCCCAGCTTCAATTCTACAATAAAAATTGTTTGCTAGAAACAGTAGTTCTGACAATAGATCTGACGCAGTTTAATGTGTACGACGCGGAGGAAGGTTTTGCCACAGAAATGTGTGTTTCTTTGAAATTTTACTAATAAAATGTTGACTTCTATTAATAAATAATTTCAAAGAAAATATATAGAAGTGTGAATTTATATATTTGATTGTCTTAGCACGTAAGATCTGAGCAACCTGTCTTCAGGTTCGTTACCTTGCTGGATGTGTCGATTGTCTTTTTGTCTCGCCTTCTATACTGGAGAAGACACTAGTGTTTTACATAAGTGTTTTGTTATATTGATTTTATATATCGATGTTGTTATTGTTTTGTTGTTATTTGAGTTCTTGTTACTCGTATTGTTTGAAATTTGGTGGTGGGATTTGATTATTTTTGTTATTGTCTTATTATTATTGTTTTTAATGATGTGGATTTTATGTTGCACTACTGATAACTTTACAGGCTTTTTAATAAAAGGGCTGGATTTTTTCTTAATAGAACGCTGGCAATTTGCATATAGATGGTTGCATATCTTTAATAGGGTACCTTGAGTGATTCTCTGAAGTAAGTAAGTAAGCTGTCTGGCCAGCTCGTCCCTGTGACCGGGTATCTAGAGTAGTGAAATTTTAACCCGAATGTTAATGCAATGATCAGAACAAATAATAAATAAATTTATATACTCCTTCGAGAAAACTTTATTACCTCATCATCACAACTACCTATTTTACAGACGTCGGTATAGATGGTTAGACCCTCTCCTAATAAGGGAGCTTTCGAAAGTCATATATCTCTAGATGGAAACTTGACATTGAATTTTCTGTCGAAATTGAGAATGGGAGAGGTGTAGTCATATTTTTTCAGAGTGACACTATACACTTAGACTGTCATCAATGGATAAGTTGAGTTATTTTTAATGTGAGTAGAGGTTTTTTATGGATAGTGATCTCACGATTTAATATAGTTCTTGAAGTGTTTTTGTAAATACTGTTACTTTACATATTTTTGCTTAAAATTAATAAAATATGTATTAAAAAAAATGAATTCTTCAAACCTATAGCTTTAGTAGTGGTGACCTCCATCAAAACATCAAAAATCCTGAAACATAGATTCCTAAAAAAAACGTTTCCTTACATACATACACATATTAGGCACTTTGGTTCAATGTTTAGTTTAAGTGCATTTACTGAAAAGTAGAAACAAAAAGAAAATCCAAAATCCAAAAACCAAAAACCAATAACCAAAAGCCAAAAACAATGCGCAGAGTAACGAGTAAAAGGTAAGTGACATCAATTGAATTGAAACAATTTACATGACTTTGCGCGGGCATCGTTAATTATTCAGTGTATGCCGCCGTAATCGTGAAGAATTGCTGCCACAAAGTCAGGAACGGAACGCTTCCGCTAATAGTGATTTTTTGAAGAAGCACACAACATGTACATGCACATGCCCACACACACATTCTCACACACAAACATATCATAAAACCACAAACAAGCATGCAAGCAGCTGTTTGCTTAGGACGAACACAGACATGTCGCTTGTTACAACAAATGGAGGCACGGTTTTTTCTTTGTGTTGTGAAGCTTTGTTGTGTGTTTGCATGAAGTGAAAATTATTCAACATATTGCTGTTGTTGTTATTGCTGAAGCTGCTCTGCTTCCGCCATAAACCTAAAACAATAAGGCAAATGGAAAAAAGCGCACATAAATATGCTGTAGACAACGTGCCAGCGACATGATGCACGTATTTGCCTGAAGTTTATGAGTGACAAAAACGTTGCGACGCTGCTGTTGCTGTTGTTATTGTTGTTGAAACGCTTAATTGACACAAGATGAGGAATTAGTGGAGGGTTATCATTACTGTTGTTATCCTGTTTTTTTTGCTTTCGTGTTTTGTGTGTTCTTTGTCATGCTCGATGCCGTTGTTAGCAATGGTGCCTTTGACGTTTCAACTATGGTGTGTTGCATTATTTTACTTTTCCCCTCCCCTTCTTATGTGCTACTTTTTATTTGCTTTAAACTGCTTAGAGTTTTTGTTGTTGGCGTAAACTGCGTGTTTTTTATTTGTGCGTTAAGGAAATCGTTTTGGCATTAAACAATGTTTTGAGAGGGAATTTAAATCAATTAATCCAGTAATTGAGGTCAGCACTTAAAACAGTTGTTGGGACGATTAAAACCATTAAACCATTTAGTTCATCCTATCACCACTTAGCACTGTCAGCTGTGAATGAACTACGAATTCACCTAATCCAGATTAATTGCATCAAAGCAAAAAATTTGGCTTCGATTGCTTTTTGTGTACATTGACAAATAGTTATGCAGTATTGTTGCAACATCCCAGCCCTCCTCTATAGTCCCGTTGTATAATCCCTAATCGAGAATTTTTTTGAGATTAGCGAATAGCCTCCAGCGAGTACTCGTTGGGAGCCAGATCTGGACTATACGGCGGATGAGGAAGCAATTCGAAGTGTGATTCGTGCAATTTTGCCATCGTTTTTATTGACTTGTAACATGGCGCATTGTCTTGGTGAAACAAAATTTTTTTCATCGCCATATGCGATCGTTTCTTCACAATGAAGACATAATATTCCCAGCTGACTGTGACTGTTGTGCCTTTGGACGTGGTTCACCGGCTGCAGTCCACTCAGTTAATGATTGTTTTGTTTCTGGAGTGAAGTGCTGGATCCATGTTTCATCCATTCTCACATATCAACGTAAAAAATCTGATTTATTACGTATAAACATGGCCAAACACTGCTCTGAATCATCAACACGTTGTTGTATTTGTTCGACTGTGAGTAAACGTGGCACCCACTTTGAAAAGAACTTTCTCATGGTCAAATGTTCATGCATAATTGTAAACACACTGCCTTTTGATATCTTTACGGTCTCAGCTATCTCATGCAATTTCAATTTACGATCAGATATAACCAATTTCTGGACTTTTGTGATGTTTTCTGGAGTAACCACCTCAATTGGACGACCACGTTTAAATTCAGCAAATCAATAACAAATGGCTCTTTTCGATGAAGCAGAGTCGGCATAACACTTTTTTTTTATCAAGAAGCAAAGATAAATCAACACACGAAATTATTTTGAACCCATTGTTTTCAAAATAACAAAGTAGCTTCACTTAAATGGCTGCCACTTTTTTCTGACTAATAGAAATGTCATGAAATTTTACATATAATCTTTTGAAGTTTGGTACTTCATAAAC